AAGTCATCCTTTCTGTGTCAGCCATTATCTCCAAGCATCAATCTGCACATTATGTCTGGGTTAGGCACATTATGAAGTTTTTATGATTAAAAAGCTCAATTTAAATAAAGTTTGGGTCATTTTCTGTGTGGATGCAAACATTTCTAGAAACTGTGCTGGGCTTGTAAGAATAAAGATTATTTTGGAAGGACAGTGTTCCCACTGGGGGCATTTTTAAATCGTTCATTGTTGTTTTTTTTATTCAATTCAATTCAAAAATATTTTATTGATTCCAGAGGGAAATTAGGTAATGTCTGATGTACAGAGTAGAGATTTCTGCTATGCTTGTTATATGATTTTTTTGTACTGTTGACAGTTCTGAAGTAATATAAATCCCTTTTGGCTTAAATTATTCAGTGTAATATTTAAGGAATTAAGGTGGTGCTAGGGTTAGGATTTTATTTTATTTTATTTTTTACTTTGGAACCAGGCTTACATAATCAGGGTTTCTGTGTGGACAGAAGACAATAGAAAACCSTTGTGTATTGTGTTTGTGTGAACAGGCCCTAAAAAGACATAATTTACACAAAAAGACATCTCTAACTTATTTACACAAAAATACATTGCCGTCACCTCAAAGAGTTTTTGATAACTCAATAACAGGATCAGTTTCTGTAAAGAAAAATCAATACTGAATACATTTTATTATACTAATTAGTGCTGGACGGTATGAAAACAAAAACCCCACAGTATTTCTTAACAAACAGTATTTTTCYTTAATGCATMYGTGTAATTAAGAGTTTCCCTTCYTGGCTCGAAGATGGTMCTGTTGAACAAAAATGAATCAATCAATCACACACACAGAAACACACAAAKTCGTTCTGGTTTATTTTGGTTAGTTAAAATTAACTGATTTTTTTTACAAGAGAGTAATGAATGATTAATACATGTGTATATATATTAATATGTATGAGGCCGGGGYCTCTCTGGATCAGACGAATGGGCTGAACAGATCCCTTTTCGTGGGCTCAGAGAGACCAGCAGCGCGGCACCGGTTCAGGTTCACCAGGAAGGAGCTGTTTCAGGTTTCAGGCAGAACAAGGCTTGGCAGCCCGACACAAAAAATGGTATTTCACCAAAAAGACAAAGTCCTTGTAAGAAACACAAATTATGCTGCAAGGTGAACGTTGGAAAGCGCAGGTGTTTCCCAGCRTAGGGAAACAAAGCCGGGGAAGAGACCAGCGCCTCCAGTAGGGAGAGCAGATGWCAGAAAGACTGACGAASAGGAAGTAACAAGAGGTTTTGAAGAAAGAGGAAGAACTGTGTGCGTGCAGCGGTATCTGCTGGTGGTTAGTGTATGGCAGAGTCCCATGAGGACTCTGTGTGTGTCTTTGTGTGTAGAGACCCAAGGTTATCACCAAAACAACAACACACCAACTCTTATGAGCAGAGCAACCTTGAGCAGACTAACTCAATTCAAACATTAGATTAATATCTCAATTAACTAATGATTAATTATGAACTACTAATAGTAAACTAATAAACATTGTTAAACTATTAAAAGATTAAGTAATGCTTATTAAAAACAGCAGATGTAAAAAGACAAAAGTTTAAGCATCGATTGAGATATATTCTGTTAATGCTAAATCCATCCATCCATCCATTTTCTGTACACGCTTATTCCTTTCAGGGTTGCGTGGGTCACTGGTGCCCATATCCAGCAGTCACAGTGCGAGGGGCGGGGTATACCCTGGACAGGTCGCAAGTCCATCACAGGGCCTGTTAATGCTAAATCATCATTTCTAAAAGATGTTCTAAACAACAAAATAACAACAAATGCAAAGTTATAAAATAACTATTACTAAAGAGCCCTTGAAAAATTAAACACAAATTCAGCACATTTTAAAGGGGTTTAAGCCTTTGAATTGCACATGTTTAAAAGAGCCAGAAAAGGGTAGAGTGCCTTCTCCGGGTCAGGGGGGTCGTCCTGCCTCAAGT